GGCTCGGGCCTCGGCGGGCCCGGCCCAGCGCGGCCGCGCCGCTCGGGTGGGAGAAGCGTCCCCTTCGCGGTGTTTTCCACGCCGTCCCGGCGGCGAGAAGGCGCCGCGCGGTTTCACGCCAGCCCGGCAGAAATAATCCGTGGTGCCCCCCCGGGAGCGCGCCTCAAAGCGCGGGCCTGCTTGAGGCTCCCCGGTTCTGGTTCGGCCAGCCGAGGAGCCGGTTGGCTCAACTCCTTTCGTGCTAGCTTAACCCCGCTGGTTTTCATGGAGTCACCTTTCATCGTTAGCGTAGGATGAGACCTTTACGTCTGACCCGATCCCAGACGTCACAGTGCTCTGGAGCATGCTGAAACACGGATTCCTTCCCCATCCTTCTCCCTTTGCGTCCCTTCCCCTTCCTCACAAGTACTGCCTCCTTCAAAGGGTATTTCAAGCCTCCCTTTTCCCTGCTAATTTTTTTCCTTCTCTCACCTTTTCGTCCAGTTTTCTTCCCTCCTTTCTCTCACCCCGGGCAGTCTCAGGACTGCCTCCCTTCTTGAGGAGGGTTTGGAGCTCTTCAGGTTTGCGGCTTTTAAAGCCAGGGAGCACTGTGGTGATGCAGTCTGGACCATACAACTTCCTTCAGTTAATTGTTGGAATTAGTGGATACCTTTCATGACCAAAACAGGATTATATTTATCTAGTCTCGGCATCCTATCACTGTGCTTTATCTGTGGTAGCTATGTGAAGAAGTCTCCTTTCAGCAACTTTCTTTTTCCCATATTGGCACTTACCTAAATTGCGATCATCCCTCAGCTTCTCCGCTTCATTCACTTGCACCTCTCCCCCTGCATCTCTCAGTATCCTCAGAGAACGATTTCTTGACCTCAGCCTTCAAATATCCCTCAGAACTCCTCTCTCCTGAGCTTTTAAGCTTTTACAAAGTGCCACGTGCGACTGCCAGGTCAATTTTTCTCCTCAGCACTGGGAATTTTTTCTAATCTGGGACTTTCCCCTGTGAGAGGCACATTCACTAAAATTGCTAATCAACGGTTAGGTTGTACTTTTCATCTGGATTCTCTGCTCACCTTGGCCAGACCCACAGCCTGTGGGTCATGATCCCTTTCCTGTGGCACTCACAGCCACAATGAGTACAAATCAGAGCTCTTTTCCTCCGTACTCCTGAGAGCTCATCTTTTTCTACCTAACCAACCTAGATAAAAGCTTTTTTGAGTCTTTATCATTCCTTGTCTTTCTGAAACCCTTTCTTTCTAGCTTTTACGCATTTATCTCACTTACGCCTCACACTCATTTAAAATATAACCGCTTATTGAGCTTATTGAGATGAAAGCATAAAAGCAGAAAACCACTAGAGCTTTACAAGCCCAGGTACTATATTTAAAATATTTTCAGGTAACTGAACCAAAATCAACATGTTTTCATGACACAGTGGGGAAGAATGGGGCACCAAAAGGCTCTTTGGGCACTGCGATTCCTTTTGGAAATGAAGACTAACATGCAGCCTGGGTGGCAGCTGGAATTTCCGAGGTTATGTTAAGGAGTACTTTGTAAAAGCCATTAAGGTCAGCAATCATTCGCAAATTATTTCTGCACCCTGCTTTGCCTTAGGAAAAGGAGAAGCCCTCAGAGAAATGTTTAGAAACTGGAAAAGAGAAGCAACAATTTTACCCTGTTTTTCTCTTTCTGCTGTTAAAATACCTGTTCGTGTGACCATGTCCGTTCTGAGCCATCCTTCACGCAGATGTCTAGCCTCAGCTCAGTCCCTGTGGCTCCGTGTTTACTGTCCACGCACAGGTTGGCTGCCACGTTTCGAATCTGCAAAACCAAGCAGCAACATTTCACATTAAACCAGGCAGTGGAATAGAGCTTCCAAAATTAGGGCATTAGGAGTTTAGCTCTGAAGGGCTTGAGACTGACCATTAGTTACATAAAACTGGTGGGAACTACTTTTTACAGGGTAGGAAGCCACATCCTTACTCTTTTGGGGAGCAACTTTAGAAGCAGCAAAGTTTGAAATCGTCTGCTTAACAAATGAAAGGTAAGTCTGTATGAAATATTTTCATGCAAAGAAACTAAGAGAAAAAAAGGTCCAGGAAGTTCAAAGCTTGGTCTGACTGCTTCTTCCCTCCTACCAGAGCAAGACAGATCAACTGTATTAAGAGGAAATTATTTCTGTATGAGTCTTTCACAGGCTTTGGAGCAGTATTTCTTGAAAACTCAGGCACGCCCTGTTCCAATCCTTGTTCTTACTTTGACACAATAACACCATTGTAGATAAGGTTACACACTAGTGCCCCAAGTGCATAAAATTAAAAAGTACTCAACAAATCTGTACTGAAACTATGCTTACCCATGGAGGTTCCTTGTCCTGTCTGCACACCTTCTGCAAACACTCTGCAGTGTAACTTATTCTTAAAAGGAAAATCTCATTTTTGAGACTGAAGCAACTGCGTAATAATTAATCTGTGACTATCTGTCATAGCAGTTATGTACCACTGCTGCCACATATATTTTTTTAAAAGACTGGGTTGAAAAGAGTAGGATGCCCACTGCCACCAAAAGGAGTAAAATCCCAAATTTATTTTGCAAAACCATGCACATTTCTCCTTGAGTACCTTAGTTGGGCTATTTAAAAATCCTTTAGACACCTCCAGAATGAAGAGGATTTCTTAAAAAACCTTACCCTGTCAATGAGATACACAGAAGCTGAGTGAGTGATCAAAATGTACATACATGCATGGAAACATGCACAAATTCTGTATGTATAATATATAGAAAGCAGGTGCATATTTTGACATTGGCCACTACTTTGATCCTTATTTAAAAAAAAGAAAATCTAGATGCCAAATGGCGATACAGTTGAGTTGACATTTGTATCTTTCCAAGGAAAATATTTTAGATGTCACTGTTGTTGCCATATTATGTTAGACAAATGTAAATGTCACCACTGCATACCTCATCCACATCCAAAGGATGGAAAACTTCTCAGCATAGCACAAAACATTGCAAGAAGGGGCAATCCTCATGCTTGCAAGATACATGGGAGAGCTACTCTGCTCTTTTTCTCATTCTGGAGGACTGGAATTGAGTCTATTCACCATGATCTAAGAAAGATTTAGACAGATGGGAAAGCAACAGGAAGTGGAGAAAATGTGAAAACCATCACCTTCAGGAAAGGTTTTAGGAGCTGTATTTGTTTAGCTTAGAAAAAAGCAGATTGGGCAAATGATGGGGGAGCATCAGTTTGAGCAATTAGCTCCAAGAACCTTTGAGCCTTCACCAGAGCTGAGAGAATTATTCTTCTAAAACTTGCACAAGCCCAGTTATAGATTGTTTTTACTTTTTTCAATACAATAAAAATTGCTATAGATGCGGTAAAACACTAGCATTTCATACGCCCAACTAGGTACAGAAACCCAGCACTGAGCAGCCCCACAGTACAAAGGGTCATGTTAACTGAAAAAAAAGGATGAAAGGTGATTAGTTCTCAAAACGCCTGCCTTTATTTTCATATCATCCAGCAAAAGATACAGGAAAGAATAATGAGAGGAATAGATTTTAATTTTATATTTTTAAAGTTTCATGTGAAATACCTACTCCAAGTGTAATTTTTTTGAGAGTGTTCAATCATTTCTCAGTGCACTTACATTTACATCGTATAAATAAAGATTACTGGCCTAATACAAAATTAAATGATACATCAGTTCTGTTCTTAGAGTGTGCGAGCTAATTAAGTAACAATTGCCATTAATAATTGGGGTATATTTATGTGATTCAGAATTGTAAAATGGCAGTGAATACACTCCACATCCAATGAATGCTTACTGGATTAAAGGGCTTTCATAATTTTGTCTCAATGGCATTGCTCCATCCCATTCTGAGTCATTTGAACTATCTGGTAAATGTGTTCAATGCATTTCTGGAAAAGGTTTGAGCTGAAGCTACATTTAGTTCTTTCACTGCTGGAGTCTGTCTCCCCTGTTCTTTATTTCCTCTCCTCTTCCCTCTGCTCCTGAAAGGTTTCCTTGAGTTAGTTTTTCCTCTGGTTTGTTGCAGCTTACGTGTTAGCTCATCCTTTTTTTTGTTTTGTTTTATCCTTCCTTTCAACTGCAGAGGGGTCGTGGTTTGTTTTTCATTTTCATTTTGTAATAGAGGCGTTTCAGTCAAGTCTGTGCTTTTGTTCTCTGGCATTTCTGTGTGGCCTTGGCAGTTGCTAGAAATTGAACTGAGCCATCGTGCTGCTGCCAGAGCCACGAGGAACGTTCTGCCGAGCACCAGCACCACACAGCCTGCAAATCCCCTAAGATGCTTTCACGGACAAAAGAAGGAACGCAGAAGCACAGCAAGGAGAGGCTTTTTTCTCATTTATACATCAATATGCATTTGAACTGCCTTGTCTCCAGTCACACAGCACAATGGATTTTGGATTTTTGAGGTTATGAGTTACAACTAGCAAAGAAATAGCTAGTGATGGTAATACACTCACATTTCCAACATTCGTATTTGTGTAATTGTAGAGACTGGGGATGAACAGGAGGCAGATTTTATCACCCATGCAGGTAGGGCACTGAGTTGCTGCATACAAAGCTTATTTGCTCAACCTTAAATGCTATCGTTTGTACACACATATAGGCATACAGGAAAAGCATGCTTTCGATGAGTCTGTATGGACTAATAAGGACGGTTAGCAGTGATTTTAAAGGTTGTTTCAGAATTAAATACATTCTGAAAAAAGCATAGGACACTATATGTAAGTCTGCATATTTAGTTCTTGAAATGCCATCCTAACACACGGTGGGACACAGATACTGAGACTATGGGCCCTGCAGTCCTCATAGAGAGCAGATGAGGCATAAAAGCACAGAGAAAAACTCTAAGGGGTCTGTTTTCTCCCTCTTCTACACTGGAAGTGTCTGAGCAAGGATGTACAGGCTTTTCAGTGCTGCACTGACGCTTGGAAAACAAAGACGTGTCACCTGAGTGGGATTTCTGCTGGTGTAGCGTCTGACTTCTGTGCTTTAAATGAGGTAGCAAGCCATAAGGGGTAATCACTGGGTAAGCCTAGATGCAGTGATCTGTGGGTTTTACAAAAAGCAGTGAACTTAGGTTAAACCTACAGCTTGCTTTCTCTAAGTTAGCCAGCCCGTGTTAAAAAGATGTTTCTCCAGAGTATGCCAGGCCTTGAGAAAGAAGTAGCTTAGCTCACTGGCACTGCGATGGGGAAAGAGGAATGTGATGTAAAATAAGAGCTGGAACACGGGAGGACAGAAGGCCTGAAAGCCTAGACCTTAGCTTTGAAGAAGACACTGTTACCTCTTGACATTTGAAGCTGCTGATTTGATAGACAGGTATTCAAGGGAAAAAAAAAAAGAGGTTTTTTTGGACACCGATCAAGAAAGGAGAATAAATGAATAAATAAATAAATAAATAATAAAGAAAACCAAACAAAAAACCGGGGTTCACAAACAGTGTTTACATATTGCAGAATATATGGTCTCCCAGATTACTTGACCTCTGGTTAAATTTATGTTGGAGTTTTGCAGAAAGCCAGCAGTTATATGATTTAATAAGCTCCCCATGGGAGAGGCAGATTAAGATGGTCTAGCACTACACTCTCAAAACTGTAGTATTTGTCATTAGTACGCAGGCATAGAATGGAAACTGGAAAGCAATGGATGTGTTGATTACTGTGGTAATCTTCTTGTCGGAAAAGCAACAGTCTTCTGAGGAAAAAGAAGGCTCGTAGGCCATTGATACAACCTGCTAGGATTAATTTTGAGATTTTTGAACATTTTGGTGGGAGCTGTGTAATGGACACTAGCATGCTCCATGTTAAATGGAGAAAAAAGCAAGACAACCTCCCCCCACACCCCTATACTTCAAAGCAAAGCGAATTTCCTCCTTCCTTTTAAGGGAATGTACTTTAGGCTGAGAAAGAAATTATAGGGAGAAATTACAGCTTCCCAGAGTCCAGCAGTTATATTGACCAATATTCTCTGACAATTCTAAAACTCTACAACTTTGTTCCCAGGCAAATGAGTTCCTGCAAGATTTGCTGTTGAGATAGTGGGCGATGTCCTGGCTCCTGCAGCCTTGCCCTGCCTGCACTGGAGCCAGGCTGTCACCCAGGGACATTTCAGCCTTCCTGGGGGCAGAGTGAACCAGAGATGGAGAAGCACTCCCAGGGGTCCTGGGAGCTACCCTGCACGCTCATGACGGCACGAAACCGTCTGCACCAAAAGCAAAAAGTAGGGAGGTGTAGCAATCTAAAGACAACTTTATATTCAATATGGTCATCCGTTAGAATGATGAATGTGGAACTGGTGCTGGGACTATCCTTAGGGTGCCTCAATACAACAACAAAATAGGCACTTTGGTGCTATCAGTTTATATAACGCTTTCCATGCATCTGATTTAATGCCTCAAATAAGAAAGTGGCTGTAGCTCTTAGAAGACATTAGCAATGTTCATTTATGTTGCTTTTTTTCATTTGAGCAGCACTTAAAGCCAGTTTTAGTGCACTGCTTACATTCTCAGATAACCCTAGGGCCATCAGTGTCTACAGATCAAATATGGAAAAATGAGCCACCTTTCCCATCAACTGATACATAGTAATTTCAAAAGTATTTATCCTTTGTGTGAGCCATAAAAAGTTGAAGTTAAAAGAAGTCAAGCACTGCCAAAGACCTCACTGAAGAAACAGAGGACTCTGTCATTCAGTGTGACACTGATCCCGATGAAAGAATTTGAACAGCCCAGCTGCGCAGCACTTGGTCTGTGCAGGGTGGGGAATAGCTGGTTGTATCGCTTTTGTACAACAGACGTGTGACACTTGGTGGGCTGAGATTGACTCATTAAGGGTATGAGGATGACACTTTAAAAAAAGAAAGTAATCAAAAGAGAAGTTAGTGAGTTCTTAGGCTTTAATCCTTTTTCAAATGTGCTACTTGACTTAACTTCATGGGTGACATTTTCATGTCAGTGCTGGAAAACAGTTCTGTAAAATCCAGGAGTTTGGGACTGAGAAAGGGGTATTTTCAGTTCCTACAGCTTAGCACTGCTGCAGTGATTGAGACACTTGCTGTGTATTAAATCATTGAATAACAAGTTCATGTAACAGCAAATGAAACCAAGCTTAAATATTTCCCTTTTGACTGAGTAAAACAAATTATTTTTTTTCATATCCCCTTGACTATAGGACTCATGAAGTCTCAAATAAATGACAATGGCTGACATTATATGATTGTTTTACTGTAAAATGTGTTTTTAAAGCTATTGTTGGAAGCTATGATATACGCATAATATATTCATGCTGGATTACAGCTTGTGGATTCATGAATACTTCCTAAGAAAACATTTGGTGTCCAAATCTCACCTAATGCTGCCATTGTTTTAACTTCCTTCAACAGGATTTCAAATACACATTACAAATAAATTATTCTGTCTTAGAAAGAGAATGGGATGGGTATTACTGTTTTGCAACTGGTAGCATACTTTCCAATATATTTGGAAGAATAAGAACAAAACCTGATTGAAAACTTTCCTTTTTCCCCACAGTGGGAGAGGAAAGAGTACCGTTATCTCACCCAGACATAGAACTGACAGTCTCACTAACCTTAATCTGTCTGGATTCGCTGTTACATTGCTTTACTGCCCGTATTTCAGATGTTACGTGGCAGAACAGAGCATCAAGGGAACGTACACCCTGCCAGCTACAAAGGACAAAAGGCACAAACACGCAGAAGAGAGAAGGCTATGACAAGTGTAGCGAAGAAGATTTTTTTTTTGTTTTTCAAATTTCCTTCTTTTCCACCATGAACAGATTTTGTCAAGAAATGTGAGTCAGATTTTAAATAAATGTTTGCAGAAAAAAGAGGAGTTGTGCAGAGGCTGTTTATGAGATGGCTGCTTTCACACCACACGCTTTTACTAGCTAGATATCAAAATACTGGAGCCAAAAATTGTCTGAGTACTTCATTGTTTATTCTTTCGCAGACTGGCATAGGCAAGCAGATGTAAAGTCTTTCCAAGTGGAAGCAGAGAGGGTACTAAATGACAGTCAGTCTTGGCACAGACTTTTGGTGTGTATAATCAGCAAGGTTTCTAGAGCTCCTTGATTCTTACAAAGCAATAACACACAGTCTGTTTTTGTCTTCAAGCTTCTAATTATGACAGCCATTGACCTTCAAGTTTGTTCAAGTTCCTTGGAAGTGCCAACAAATTAATTAAAACTTCACAGGAATGTGACAGTCTCAGGAAAAAATAGAGTAGTAGGGCTGAAACTTCTTGTTATTTTAGAGAAAGTACATTTTAGGGGAAAAAGAAAGCCTTTGGTCTTCACTTCCTTCCTAAGAACTCAATAAGTGCTTTTAAGGTACAGATTTGATACCACTGCTATGATCTTTGATTTACTTTTTAAAAGTCTTGCTTTTATGCAAAGAGTATATTAATATTGCTGTGAAAAGAATGAATACCTGAATCACAGTCTCTTCCACTTAGACGCTCTGATTGAGTTATGGATTGCTCAGCTGGCCAGAGAAATTACACATCTCATGATCACAGTCCTCCAAGGATGCACATTTATACGTGGAAGATGGTGAAGGAAGATCACAGTAGCAGTCACAGCACCCGATCCAGCCTGACTTCTACTGATAAACTCCTTACCTCGTGGTATACATTAATCCCATAATGTGTGGGCAGCAGTATCAAAGATAGAAGAAACTTTAACAACAAAGGAATTAATTATTGCCAAGAAGTAGCAAACAGTAAGACACACATAAATTGAAGTTCCTTTGAACATCTGTAACTGGTAGCTTACAAAGAATAGTTAAGGACTGTTACTACCACAGAAAGTTATTTTTAAATTTTTGCAATGAGGTAATTTGCATTTTTAAAAAGAAATGCTGAAGAATAGTAGAGGCACCTATGTTTAGAAATCCCCTGCATGGTCCAGCCTTGACCACTGGGGATATGCAGAGGTGTGAGGGGTCTTACCAAATGTTTTAGTCAAAGTTTCAACTTCATCCTTTGGTTTCAAATATAAAAGGTAATTGTCTGAGAGCCCCAAGAAGATCTCCAGCAAATTAGAGAAGGCCAGAACTCACAGCACAGATATTCCTACAGTTTTTAAAAAAGTAGCACAATACACTGAAAGAGCAAAGCCTTCTTTATAAATCTTAATGAATTGAGAGGAAAAAGCCCACTGCATACCACCTTTCCATGGAGTGAATCCACTGTTTCCTAGGAGTAAAAAGGCCACTGCAATTTTTCAGTGCAGCTATGGAAGTAATTTCCCGTCCCTGCACTCTTTGTGTTTTCATTTCTTCTACACAAAACACACTGTCAAAGCAAGGTGTGCTATGACTCTGCTCTTCAGAGAGGTCTGAATGCAGGTCTGAATCTTTGATCACGGGTGGAGAGTTCCAGCAGGCTGTTTGCTTGCCCCTGCTCTGGAGTGATGCTTGGATATTGGCTTCTGTCTTGGTGGTCTCTCCCTCCCTTCATGCCCCAAAAGAAAAATTGCATTTGTCTGCTACTGGTACTTGGTCATGACAGCACCTACAGAATGCAGATCACAAGCTGAGCAAAACCAGTCTTTCTAGAAGAAAAATATCCAAGCTTCGCTTGTCACATTTGCATGTGCGAGCAGAACAGAGCAAACCTAACTCCACCTACATACAATTGTCCTTGTAAGAACAAGAGGAGGTATATAAGTGGATATGCAAAAAAAAGTGTTGCCCTCAGACCTCCTTTTTGCTAAGGTGATTCTCAGCATCTAAAATCATCTTGTGACATGCAATAATGAGTGCTACATAGTCTTTTTCACATTCTTCTCCTCATTGTGCATGCATCTTATGGCCTGTACACACAAAATTGTAATGAATTATAAAAAGGACAGCGATCGTTCTAAGACATGATGGTTTCTCATTTTAATGGCTAGTCCAGGGTTTGTTCCAATCACTATGAACTCCCTTAATAACACTATTTATCATAGGAGCTGAATCTAATTTCATAATTTTAATTTCCTGCAATGTAAAATGTTAGACTCATTTAAATTTGATCTAATTTGTGTATTCCTCACCTCTCCCCAGGCAGCAGGTGGAGGCTCCACAGGAGGATAATATTTGGGGACATCCCAAGCCACTGCAGCCATGAACCACTTGAAATCTTTACATTTAAGGTGCTTGCGAAGTTCCTTCTGGGCAGAGATATCACCAGTTGAGAGATGTCTGTACTCAGGCCGTCGCTGGTAAATGTACTCTGCAAACTCATCCATCCACGTCTCTGCCACGCGCTTCAGGTTCTGTGCAGCAGAAAAAAAAAAATCATTAATTTCTTCATGCTTTGAGTGAATGATATTTCTAATGGGGAGAATTAAACAAAAAAAATTCAGTAGTCCACACAACTTTTAAGCTTAGCTGGTCTGATTTCTCAGTCTTAAAACATGGAAAAATACCAATAAACGTATGCTATCTTCATTAAAGCGTTGAGCAAACACTACAGAGTATTAAGTACCCTGCTTTCCTGCTGATAGAGTCATCTGTCTGTTGAACATCTTATTTTCCTTCATATTCTTTATGCATCTCCACATGGGTTTTTGATTAATGATGGATGTTAAAGAGAAATTTTCTTTCAGCTGCTCACATTGGTACCTATGTGTTTTTCCTGTTAGTTCAGAACCTGCTGATGTGCAGGAATGGTTCAAATTATTCCTTTGCCTTTGAAAGGCATCTGAATTTTCAGCTGTCATCATACTGCTTAGTCATCTAGCAATTCCTACCTAAATTTTAGGGCCAGGTCTTACATGTGCATGTATGGGGGCAAACAGTCATGAGCTTCCTCTGCCCCATCTCACAGGTGGTTTTGCACTACCTTTGGACTGAAAGCTTCGCTGTGCTGGCGTGCTAGCAAGTCTGTGCAAAAGCATAGCACGTAACCTTGAAGTAGAGCTGATCTGAAACAAAGCAGCTCATGGGATAGGTATGGCAACTTGTGGCTTTCTGCACTCACCCTATAGACATATCTAAGACTATTTCTGTTCTGTGAAACCCAGTTCTGGCTTATGTCCCACAAAGTTTATTTTTGTTGGCATTTTACAGGAAACAGAATTACCTATTTTGTTGCATAAGAATTTATTCAAATTATAATTAATTAAATTAGCTGACTCAAATTATAAAATAAAAAGAAAAAGACTTGCAAGGAAAAATCCTGAATAGGTGAGACTGAAGAGATATATTTTATTGTTATTTAATGTCATGGAGTCTAAATAGGCCCAGGGCAAATTTTTCTGTATTTTTGTTTGTTTTTAAAATTCCTCCTGCAACTCAATCCACACAGCTTTATATGCAGATGTTGTAGTGGAGTACAGGCTTAGTCTATTCTGCATTTCCACAGCTGCCCAATAACCTCTTATCCCACCAACAAAGCAACATCTCACTGGAGAACACTAAGACACTAGGGCATTCTTATTGCTTTGCTTGTAAAAACAAGATCATCAAGTTTTGTAATATTCTTTTTATAGTACGCTAACTGCAAAATTCTGAGATTCGCTCTGTAATAAGCTGGAGGACAATATACATCTGATTATCATCAACATAAGGTAATGTTTCTTCTCAGAACATTCTCTGCATATAAGTAAGCCTGATTCGTACTCTGATTTGCTTTCAAGATTCATTTGAAAATTCCTTTCTTGAATTTTATTAATCCACACAAACTAAATGTCTCTGAACTAATAAGGCTTATCTGAATACAAAGACAGCAAGATACAGAACAAACGAAGTACTTTTAGCTGACACTGCAAGATAAGTTTCTATGTGCTTTCTTTCTGTGAAGCAAATATGTTATAACCTGCAGTGATAAAGCAAGTAAAATGAAAGGAGTATAAGAATTCACAACACATATCCCTATTAAAAAAAGGCTCATGCCCCACATAAGGTTGAATTTTGCTGTAATTTCATGAAAACCTGTATTACTTCACAAGAAATTAGAATTTAAGAATACAGGCACTGGGTAGGACAAAGAAAACCAGAACAAATTCAAGAACAACATCTAAATGACAATCCCACCTTTCTGGCAGAAACCCTCTAACACAGCAATCTCCTGACAAGTAAAAATACTATGTCATGAGACTTTGTAGATAAGGCCAAAATATGATTAAGCTCATTAAACTAAGAAGCCAAAATCATGGAAATAGGTGTGATCTTTCTAGCATATCTTCCACTGTAATGCTGTACACCTCATTTACTACAATACAAATGCAGTTTAAGACTGTTCTGGAAAATATATTATTTTTTGCAATCACTTTATCTGATAGTGCTAATTTAAAAACCATGCTGTAAAAAGAACCATACAGTAAAAGTACAGTAAAAAAATTCTCTTAGGAAAGAAAAATTCAAAGTAACTCCAGCAGTGACTTACCCCATCAATATCAAGAGTAGGCTCTGCTGGAGTTTTCTCTTTAGTTATTTGGCTGCACTAAAAGAACTGAATTCTGCTTTAGATGGTTATAACTGAATAAAAGAGGAGTCCAACAGAAATCTTGATATTATACCTGGTCACTGGCTCGAACTTCTCATTCACCAGTCAAAGCCTCCTTGTTTTCCAAGTGTGTGTGCGTAAACCCACCAAAACATTGCATTAGAAAAAAAATAATTCAGGTCTTCCCACCATTCCCCAAGTATCAGGTAAGACACTTTAGACAAATCTATTTAAAACTTTGTTCCCCAGTTCTTCCAAGACCATTTTCTCCATCATATGCTAAAAATCTTCCCAAACCTTGCCAGATCCTGTAATGAACCTATATGTTATCCTTAGCATGTTTATACACTGCTGTCATAAGCTGAACCCTTATGAGGCGGCCCTTTGAATTTCAATAGGTTCCCTTTTAAAAATACAAACTTTTGATTTGCTAGCTCCATATCTCCAGACTGTTTATGAACATGACTGCAAGGAACTCTCCATCCTGGAGTAGTGGGAAGCTCGCTCTGAAGTTGCCAGTTACTAGGAAGCAAGCACTCAGCATCCAAACACTAGTTTTAAAGAGGTTTGTTGCCTTCAGTTAGCATGGTTTTCCTATCCTTATTATCGTGATGCAAGCTCAGTAACCACCACGCTTCCTTTTAACATAAACATGTACAGACTAGTAGTAAAACTTGAAATTGGAGTTAATCCCCATACTTGAACTGAATGCAGTCAGGAAGAGCTGCTGTCCTGAAAGTTCTCTGGTGCAACCTTGCACAGTAAAGGCAAACACCATTTACAATCCTATTTAGAACATGCTAACCCAGCATGTTCCTGGAGCAAAAATATAGGCTGTCCAAGATGAGATGAGTGAGCTCTCCTAAGCTGAAGATCCCTGTTCTGTGGCTGTCTAACAGCATGAAAAGTTGCCCTGTGCGAAGAACCTCCTAGGAACGTAACTCTTCTCTGCAAATTATGTCCATGAGCTGCTGGTCTTTACTCACCTTATCACAACAGAAAGGTAGAGGAGCATAACCAAAACCATAACCCCAGCATAACCTCCCTGAACACTTTAAGGCCTACCGATCAAGTGACTTACTGTAAGGTAAGGATGTGATTTCAAATCCTTTACAAGTCTCCCAGAGTTGCCCTTCCCACAATCCGGGTGAATGTCTGACATGGTGGAGAAAGGAGGACAGTCACTTCCCCCTTGCCTGAGCCTTAGGTCAGGCTAGACACAATCTAAGCATGTCAACATATTACGCCCACAAGTGGGCATGGTTATGAATAGCTACCAAATCTTGACAGAGTCTAGCTGTAATACAGATGCTAAGCAGTTCAACTTTGTTAGGACTTCACCGTGTGTGTGTGTGTGTGTGCGTATGCTGCTGCAGAATTTAGAGGTCAAAGGAGTTTAAGAGCCTACCAGATTAGGTGGCATTTTGTGAATGTCTTATAGCATCATTTAAGCACTCCAGTCTCACGGTGAAGATAATCTACAAAGAATTTAGAACAAAGTAAGAGTTATATTGCAATCTTCTTGATTTCTGTCTCTGTTACTCTTTGCGTAATCTTCTAAAGAAAACTCCTTCAAATGCCAGTTTCTCAAATGGCATCAAATATCTTTATCAATAAGAAGAATCAGTTTTGGGATATCTTTGTGGTAGATCACACTTGCTTGGATTCAATCTGAACACCTCATCTAAATGCATACGGAAAGGAAAAATGAAACATGTTTCTACAGCTGAAAACTGCTGTAGCTTAGTTTGGCTGTCAGATTCATTGCAAGGTTACAGATGTCCAGTTTGGTTACCCTGGTCTTTGAACAGAAAAAAAGGAAAAATAAAAATTAAATAGGAGCAATTAAATGAAGATCAACTCAATCAGTTACATGAATTGACACACAATGTAAAGGAAGTCACAGGGACTCTCGATGGACATCTGAGGAGTTTCTCAGGACCCATCCATGACAGACCAATGATAATTTGTTCTCTCTTGTCATTTTCAGTGAAAAATTTCTGTACATGAATAAATAAGGCCCAATGATATTTCAGTAGATACATATTTCTATATGTAAGGTTGTGACAGCTGTCACCAAGAAGCTGAGATGCATACAAAAGTGATGGCAACCACACTAAGACTGACTCATCAGCTGCCATCAGTTGCCTATGTATGCATTCTTGATATAATTAAGTTCTGTGCCACTGTTACAGTTTTACTCTCTGGTAAATCCTTTACCATCAGGCTTACATTTAGACAAGTTTTCTTTAAGTTTGTATGAACTCAGACATTTAAGACTGTGACTTTGTTTTGTATTTTCACTCAGCAATAGTCTACAAGACAGTAAGTTACAATGTCACTGATACCTGGACTTCAATAAAAGAGTTTAAATCAACTTGACTGGAGAAAGAGAGAGATAAATGAGGACTTCTCCACTTGAAGAAAAGAAATTTTTCATGGACCATTTTGTCCCTTTCACTTTCTTCAGTGACTAGGGAAGATACATCTCTCTGATCAAATGACTGTCCCTTCTTTTTAAGCATGTAAGATCATCCATCATTTTCAAGAGACGTGATATTACTCAAATAAATGCAGTGAGAAGAAAGTAGACACTGGCCATGAGAATGGAAAAGTGGAGTGAGGCAAGGACATGTCAAAGGACAGATTCGTAAATATTCCCTCTAAGCAAGGTTTAACTAGATTGGTCCCTAATACGAGAGGTGTAGTTCCACATTTTGTAACTGTGGCTGGTGTGCTGGCTTGCAATGACAGCACTGGTAAGAGAGCTACCTAGCTGTAGCCTGTTCGCTGTTGCGAGCCTGCACAAATCCATCCTCTAGTTGC